AATAGTAGTAGTAGTAGTAGTAGTCGTAGAAGACGTAGTAGTAGTAGTAATAATAGTAGTAGTAGTAGTAGTAGTAGTACTAGTAGTAGTAGTAGTAGTAGTAGTAGTAGTAGTGGCAGCAGTAGTAGTAGTAGTAGTAGTAGTAGTAGTAGTAGTAGTAGTAGTAATAGTAGTAGTGGTGGTAGTAGTAGTAGTAGTAGTAGTAGTCGTAGTATTAGAAGTAGTCGACGCCGTGATGGTAGTAATAGAAACAAGAATGATCGTAACGGTAGTCGCCGTATTATTAATAGAAGCAATAGTAGTACGCGTACTCATATGTTCCACGCACATATGTGCATCTATACATCGGAATTTGCATGCAAAGGGTATTTTACGGATTCCCCGGATAATTAGGGGTTCCTACGTCTGCAGTGAGGAACTGGGCCGCAGTGACCTTGCACGTCGTATGTTGCACCAACAGGTTGCAACGCGTAGATTCTCCATTTTTCTAAAACAGAATTGCAATATATTCCCCCGACCCCGGTTAACGGTCCACTTTTTCATGTGGCAATTTACGTACGATTCTGCCCCATCGCCCAACTTCAATATGAACTCAGAACATCAAATCCCAGCCGGTATCGACACCCCCTCTCATTTTCTGAAGAAAAATACCATGCGGACGCACTCGTTTCTCAGCAATCATAAATTCCACGAGTTCCTTGCTTTTGATGTAGCGAAGTGCGCACGCGCGCGTCGTCACGCGCGCATGCCGGAATCTTTGGGTTCTCGTAAGGATTCCAATATCGAGTCTCCGACAACACATATAAAAAAGACACACATGGTTTGGGCAAGCGGCTTTTCAAACAAAGAACGGCGCGCGCTTTTGCATTGATATCCATCTATACATCTATGATACAATATAATACGATAGAACACAACATTGGCTGTTTAAAATCTAGGAGTTCGACTCAATGAAAAAATCGCGCGCGCATGTCGGAATCGTTCGAACGCCCCCTGCGCGCGCGCTGTTGGAGAATTTGTTGGAACAGATGACGAAGTGCACGCGCCCGCGTCGTCGCCCGCGCATGCCGAAATCCAACGAAAACCTTCGGTTTCGCAAGGAGTTCAAAACCGACTGTCCCGAAACCATATAACACCAGACGGTTGCGCAGCACCCGTTTTCAAACTAGTTTGCATTCGCAAGCTCGCGAATCCTGAAGCCAACCATCCTTTCTTCAACATGTTGCTTGAACTCTGCAAAACGGGCCTGTCGCGCCGCATGCCAAAATCATTCGAACGCCCGTCCGCGTGTGCTGGGGGGCACGATCCAGGTCAAATGACACCATGCGGCCACTCTGGAGCGTCGGCCGCGCGCGCATGTTGAACTCCTTCCAAAACCTTCACCACCGACTGGGACACGCCGTTGATCAGCATCGGCGCCGTCACTGGCCTTGCCGTCGTCGCTGTCAACATCGTCACCAGCACCGCTGCTATCATCATCGTGTCTACCGTTGTCGACGTTGCCATGATACCGCGCCCGCCCAAGTCGCCGACTCGCACTGAAAGTGCCCGCTGGGATGTGTCCCGCGGTCAGCGCCAGCACGGCCGCGTCTGTCGCGCCAAACTAGCTGGCCGCTGCGCGCGCGTGCATGCGCGGGCTGGTGCGGCCGCAGAGATGCCCCAGCCAGCGCCAAGCACTCATCGCAATCGCCGCCGCATGGGTTTCGCAAAAGAAGTTGCGGGCGGGCGGGAGGGATGCTTGCAGGAGCATAGGATGTGTCAATCCTTTGGTAAACAAAGCACTTTCAATGTATATTGCACCATTGAGGTTGCACAACATGCATTGCACAACGCAAGCAGCACCAATAGAGTGCACAACCTAGATTGCAACACGTAGGTTGGACCACTTATGTTACACCGCGTAGGAAGCACGAACTATATTGCGCCACGTGGATTGCGCCACGTCGATTGCACAAGGTAAATTGCGCACCGCTGAATTTGCACCTCGTTGACTGTTGCACATAGCGCCGCATACACTGATTGCGCAACATATGTTTCAGAATGTACGACTTGCAAAGAGTAGACGTAGTGAACAGTCGGTGATTTGCCCGGTCGCCATCGTGTGTTCGAACTTCCTTTGGGGGCTCTGAGGGACGTCGCTGCATCCAGAAGCGCTCTGGAGAGCCTGCTCTTCATCAATCCAACACTACAGCCTCCCAAACTCATCCCAACCGCATCGGCCCGATCACACTCCAGCTGTGGTCGGTCCGATGTGGTCGAGGGTCGGTCCGAATTGGTTGCGGTCCGCCCCGATCGCCCCAGCCCCCCCCTCCAGGAACCCTGTAAAGCCCCCCCCCCAGGACCCCCCAGACCCCAGACAGTGCCCAGAAAGCCCACGACGCCTCGACCGCGGACTCCCCGCCTCCTCCTTGGGGGATCGGCAGCATGGCGTAAACCTTTGGAGTAAATCACGGCGCGAGGTTCTCGGCCACATTCGGCTCAGGGGGGGCCCTCCCCGGGCCCTGGGGCCGTCACCAGAACGACTCAGGATGACAAGACCGTCCCCGGGAAGGGCCCAAACCTCTGGGGAGCCAAGTTGTCAAGAAAAATATGAAGTTCGGATGAGCTGGGAGCATGAGGAGTCTGGTGAGGAGGAGGTGGAGGAGGTGGAGCGACAAGGCAAGAAGAGGAGCAGCAGGAGGGAATGGAGGAGCAGGAGGACATGGAAGAGGAGGTAGAAGAGGGAGAGGAGGTGGAAAAGGAGGACGATGACGATAACGAAGATGGAACACCTGCACCTTGATCGCCTAACGATTTCAATGGGTCCCGTCGGCCACCCCAGGCAGAAGGCAACATTGCTCCACTCCTGCCCCCGAATCGCCTGTTCACGCGATGGGTGTGTTGTGCAAACCGCTGTTCCATGCCCCCCTTCTCCTGTTGCCCAGAGAGCAGCGGCAGGGATCGCACATCGATCGCACATGTCCGCCAGCGGAGCGGGCGCCTGGCATCAGGTATGCTAAAGTCTTGCCGCTCCCTGTCTGCGCGATGCCGACCATGTCGCGCCCTGATTCGGAGAGAACGCAAAGAACGGAACGGAGAGCTGGCTGGAGGCATGCGGCGAGGACCCGCAAGAAAATACGATGATGACACTTGACGGGCAGGGTGAGAGTGGAACCCGAGAGGCTAGCACGGGTAGGACGACAAGGGTACGCTGGTAAGGGCTCGAAAAATGGACCAAGCCGCCTGGTCGGCCAAGGAGCTCGGTTTACCACACGCCCCATTTTCCGAACCTAGAGCGTCTGCGAACCGAATTCCTTCACTGAATGATTTGCCGACCAAGCGACGTGATGCAAACGTCGAGCCCCTCCATATACTTGCACACAAGCAACACGACAGCGACGACAACTAGAACATGCCAGGGAGGCGTACAAGTCATGTTCCACGCAAACAGTGCAGGCGAAATTGAGTGGCAGCAGCGGTGGCGGCAGGGAAAGCGGCAAGACATGTGCAAATGCTGACCCGAGCAAACTGTCGTAATAAGCTGAGAATCAATAACAACATCAGCGACAAGCATGCCCTGACATCAGAGCAGCTGTGGACCTACAGCGACATCGGAGTGCGGGAAGCGGGGAAGTCGACTGTCAAAGCCAACGGTGCAAACGACGCTGGGGATGTGTGAAGCATTGGCAGCACCAGAAGGAAGCGAGGATGGAGAGATGCGTTGAGCTTCGGCCAACAATTAGCCTAGCCTGCAATAGCCTAGCCTGGACTAGCCGTACACGAGTTCTCAATGGCTTGTTGCACTGAAGCTGCGTCGCTGTGCCTCTTCAACTGCGAGCCCGATTCTGCTTTGCTCAAACATCCGCCACCGTGCCCACAGGCACGAGATGGAGTCTTCAGTCCTCAAAAATGGAATATCAAACAACCCCGACTCCGAATTGCCAGATTTCCTTGGACTTCCTGCGTGTTCCCACGTGACTTCTCCGGAGCGAAGAAGGCCCCAGCGCAGGCAACGAGGGCCCCAAGAGGCCCCCGAGTCGGCCCAAGAGCGCTCCAGGATGCCCAAGGTGGCTCAAGACGGTGCAAGAGGGACTCCCCCAGAGGGCCCCAAAGCCACATCAATAATGTTACTGAGGTTTGCCACTCCCGCGCCCACGCCCAGGCCCAGGCCCACGCCGGCGCAGGCCCAGGGGGTGGGGGCATGGTTCGAGCCCACCTCCCGCCCTGGAGGGGGGGAGGTCGACCCCCCCCCCCAAAGCGCCCACAGAACGCTCTCTTTCTTAGGTTTTAACAAGATTTGACGCTGTCACCCTTTCGAGCTCCCCACCGACCACGACTGCCCACGGGCCCCCGAGACAGCGCGAAGACGGCCCAAAACGGCTGCCACGAAGGACCCCACGGACGGCACAAAAGGATCCCCCTGGACGGTCCAAGACGCCACCAGGACACCCCAGGACGGCTCCCAGAAGGTGCCCCCGAGGGGGAGCGCGACACGACATCTTCGAGCCCTCCCCTCCAAAAGGACCCGAGACCGCCGGCACAACCATAAAAGCCCACCAGAAGCCGCGATGCCCCCGAGAGGCCTCCGACACGCCCTCAAAACAACCCAAAACCGCCTCCTCCTCCGTCTCCTCCTCCTCGTCCGGCTGCTCCTCCCTCCTCCTCCTCCTCCTCCTCCTCCTCCTCCTCCTCCTCCTCCTCCTCCTCCTCCTCCTCCTCCTCCACGAGAGAGAGAGAGAGGTCCCTCCTCCTCCTCCTCCTCCTCCTCCTCGAGAGAGAGAGAGGCCTCCTAAGGAGATCCCATATGCATCCCTGACCTACAGCCCCGAGGGCCACTGCCTCCGCCGCCCCGTGCCGACGTATCAAAGGGGTGGGTGCCTGGACTGCTAGATGTCTGGTGGTTTTTGGCTCTCTGGCCCTAGCCGCATGTCGCTAGAGGGCTCTACAAAAGGTCAAATAGACCTCTCACAGAATCTCCACAGGGGGGGGGGGGCTGGGGGGAGGCATCTCACGCTGCCATGGACGCTGCTGGGGATTAGGCTCATTTTGGTGTTCTGGTTCGATCTCAGCCCTCGCAGATCCAGAAATGAAAATCACTCTGTCGGTTTGGCTTGATCTGGTCCAGAAATGAGGCTCGCTACCGTGTTCGGTTTCGATTTCAATTCAAAGATTCTTTCACCAGGCTCTCCACGGGGGGAAGCGTCTCGCTGGTCCGCGGGCGGTCCAGAGTCGACTGACTATGGCTCTCTGGCTCAATTTCAACCATCGCAGATGCAGAAATGAGATTCCCTCTGGTGTTCTGGCTCGATTTGGTGCAGAGATGGAGCTCACTATGGTGTGGTGGCTCGATTTCAACCCTCATAAATCCAAACATGAAACTCACTCTGGTGTTCCTGCGCGACTTCAATGCGAAGACCCCTCGCACCTTGATCTTCACAGGGAAGGCCGACTGGCTCGATGACAGCTCTCGCAGATCCCGACACGAGACTCACTATGGTGATCTGCTTCGATGTCAGCCGTCGCAGGTCCAGAAATTGTGGTTCCATTTCAATCCTCGCAGATCCGGACACGAGGCTCACTGTCATGTTTTGGCTTGATTCTAGCCGTCGCAGGTTCAGAACGTGTTGCAGGGGCAAAGGATTCTCACCATTCTAGCTGTCTACGGTCCAGAAAGTGTGGCAGGTCCCTAGGCACCTGGCCATTCCAGCTAGCTCGGAGTCTCACCATTCCAGATTTCCTCCGTCGAAGGAAATGTGGCAGAGGCATCTGGTTCCCCAGCGCCGGGGAGGGGGAGGCGAGGAGCAGGGGTAGGAGGCGGAAGAGGAGGAGGAGGAGGAGGAGGAGAAAAGTAGGAGGAGGAGGCGGAGGAGGAGTGGAGCAAAAGTGAATCGCACTTCTGGGCCAAATCCAGCCAGAACGCTATAGTAAAACCCATTTCTGGATTTGCCGAGGGCTGAAATCGAGCTAGAACACTACAATGAGTTTCACTTGTGGACCACATCGAGCCAAAACACCATAGCAATTCGATTCCAAACCGTTATGGGCCGCCGCCGGGCCTGGGAGACGCCTTCCGCCAGACCGCCCCCCTTTGAGAGAAAATTCGCATCTCGAATATAATCCTCCCTCCCCTCGACCCTCGATCCTCGACCCCCTCGATCCTCGATCCCTAGATCCTCGACCACCTCGATCCTTGACCACCTCGACCACCTCGACGCCCTCGACCCCCTCACTCTCCTCGATCTCCTCGATCTCCTCGACGAGGGAGATGCGAAAAAAGACTCCACTATGAACCCGTCACCTTCCCAGGTCGTCGGCCTTCCCGCTCCGGATGGCGCTAAGAGAGCCTCCAAGACGGCCACAGTGGTCTTCAAGACGGCCACGATGGCCCCAAAGAGAGCCCAAGATGGCCGCAAGATGTCTCCAAGACGGGCCGAAATTCTTCCTAAGATGGGCCAAGATGGCATCAAGATCGCCCAAGACGGCTCAAGAGGCCTCCGAGAAGGACTATGAGGTCTCTGGGGGGTCTCCAGGAAGGCCTGCAGAGGTCGAAATTATTGATTATCCTGAGTGTTTGAAGAATTCTGGCGTTTGCTCTTTTCCGGCTTTCCGACGGTCAAAGACGGCCCCAGAAGCCACCAAGATGGTCCCGAGAGCACCCAATAGGCTGGAGAGATGGCCCCCTAACGGCGCAAGATGTCCTGAAGGTGGCTCCAAGAGGGCCTCAAGATGGCCCAAGAGACCTCGAAGACGCCCAAGATGGCCCCACCGCCCTGAACCGCCCCAAGAAGGCTCCAAGACGGCGCAATGTGGCCCCTCAAAACGGCTCCCCACGTCGTCAGACGGGCCAGGAAAGCCCTCAGACGGCCAACGTGCCAAAGAGACTCCGAAGGCCCCCAAGAGGCCCATCGGAGCCACCAAGAAGCTTCCCAGATGCCCCAAGGAAGCTCCAAGGAGGCTCGAAGAGTGTCCCAAGAGACTCCTCAGGGGCCTCCTCCTCCTTCCTCCTCCCTCTCCTCTTCTTCTTTCTCCACGACGTGCTCCCCAAATGGTTTCCACAACGGCTGGGGGAACACGTGTTTCGATAGCTTGGCCGAGCTATGTCCGCAACGTTAGGCCACATAGGCGCTTCCAAAAGACAGAGAGCGGCGGTGATTCGCCGTAGGCGTCTTCGATCCGCTGCGCCATGTGGCTTGCCAAAGGGGTGCACGGCGTGGCAAATGCTAGGTTGTTCCTGATTCTTTGTGAAAGCTCCCAGTGGCCTTCGGCCTAATGCTCCGGCCACCCAGAAGAACGCGCAAGGAGGGGAACAACCGGGTAGCTCGCCTCCGAGACGGCCAATATTGTTCCAAGAAGGCCTGCAAGATGCTTCCAAGAAGGCAAATATTGTCCCAAGAGCGTCGCAAATGGTCCCAAGACGCCTCCAAGACGGCCCTGCGATGGCCAAAGATGTCCTCCAGACGGCCCAGGAGGCCCCCGAGACGCCCCAAGAAGGCTCCAAGATGACATCCAGGGGGCCCAAATCACTGCTGCTCCTCAGGTTTTGTTTTTTGTTTTCATGATATAGCGTTCTCGTTTTTCTTGCGCTTCCGACGCTCCAAGACGGCTCTATCAGTCCCCTAAATCGCCCCAAGACAGCCCGAGAGACCCAAGAGCCCGAAGCCCGCAAGACGGCCCAAGAGGGCCCCAAGACGGCCCCATAGACCTCCAAGACTGCCCTCAAGCACCCAAAGGAGGAAGAGAGGGCCCCACGACGGCCTCAGATGACCCCCATTAGAGCAGGACGCCCCCACGAGCCCTCTAAGAGGCCCCTAAGGCGCTCCCAGGAAGCCCCAAGAGGCCCCACGAGGACCTCAAGAGGCCTCCTCTTCTTCCTAGTCCTCCTCCTCCTCCTCCTCCTCCTCCTCCTCCTCCTCCTCCTCCTCCTCCTCCTCCTCCTCCTCCTCCTTCTCCTCCTCCTCCTCCTCCTCCTCCTCCTCCTCCTCCTCCTCCTCCTCCTCCCTCCTCTCCTCATCCTCCATCTCCTGCTCCTTTCCCTGCTCTCCAGAGGGTTCCCCATCAAGGGAATCCACAACCGCTGGGGGAGCACATATTCCAGTAGCGTCGCCAGACTTCGGCCCAACGTTCGGCCGCGTGGGGCATCTCCAAAAGGCGGGGGTCGGCGGTGATTCGCCGCGGGCGTCTTCGATGCACTTCCTCATTGACGAGCGTGTCGTGACACGGGTTTCCGCGTTCGGGCCTCAACGCCCCCCGTGTATGATTCCAGCCGAATCGGCTCGGTGCTCGGGCCTCACTGAGAATTGAAGCAGGGCCCCAGGCGGCCCGAGAATGCGAACCCCCTCCAGCAACAACGCCCCGCCGCTCGAACAAACCAACGTGTCGACTATTCCGTGAATTCTGCCGGGGGGGGGGGGGGGAAACGGACCCGCGATAGCCACAGCAGCAATCGCACGCATGACACGAATACAGCCATGGAGTCGCCCAGAATCACGACTTGGAGTGAATATCACAGCCAACTCTCGACGAAATCATCTCCCTACCTCCAGAAGGACAGGCAGACCTCTGTGTTACAAGACTCGTGTCGACTTACCCATGCAAGTAGGAGGCGCGTGCCTGACAGGGCTGTGGGCCAGCCGATAGACTGAATCGGTGAGGGCTTCGGGAAGCCCGCGTTCGTGATGCCCTTCATCAAATCACCTGTAAGGCTGTACTGTGCGAAAGACCGATCTGAAGTCATCTCTCGACCCAGTCCCTGATTCAGCACCGCGAGGAGAAGGACACATCAGGCAAGACAACTCCTTTCGCTCAAGCGCTTTCAAAAGAAAGGATGCCTCTCACCTCATAGGGCCTTGCGGAGATGCGGCATGTCGCTGACAACTCCAAAGCGCCTTCCCACTTCCAATGGAAGGGGAAGGATGGAATACTGGAAAAGACAATTCAGAGAATCTGAGTCGCAAGGGACAACAACTACGCTTGGAGAAAGTAAGACTGTGACTCTCGACGGCATGTGTTTCATGTGCGTTTCGAAACTGATCGACCCAAAAGGGTCATTGGAACCACAGCGGCAAAACAGAAACACTCGTCGTGGCTGTCGCTGTTCCGCGACGCCCTGGTGTCAGGCGGCTGCAGCAAGGTCCAAGAGGGCCACCAGGCCTAAGAACGGTCCAAGGGGACAACAAGACGCACGAGGACGGCCCTGACACGCGCAGCGATGCCGCACATGCATGCTGCTTTCCCGAGTGGGGTGGGGTGAAAGGGGGGCGTGCGCGGCTCGGAATGGTTCCCGCTCTGCGGGCTCACAACGGCGGGCCTCCTGCGGAGGCTGACGGCGCTACACCAGAGCTTGTGCCTGGCAACGTGCCGAACCTCGGAAGGCTGGAGAGACAGGATAGGCAGGGTGAAAAGCCTGATGCAGCCCAAGGAGGCGAACCTTATTTTGGGGGGGGGCCTCTTAGAGATCTCGGGGGTCCCAGTGAGTGCTCAGGGCCTCGGGCGGCGAAGACGAATGAACGACCACGCTCCCGTGGCAAGCATCCCATCTGGCGGAAGCCGACGGCGGAGAGCAAAGCACAGCGTGCGAGAAGTTGGGCCAACCGCACTGCGCCCCACGCAAAAGGTGCCAGTCCTCGCACTCGAAACCTGGACCCCATTCGAACAGGGAGCGAGCAGGACGAGGAGGAGGAGCGACCTTACCAAGTCGAGGAGGAGGAGGAGGAGGAGGAGGAGAAGAATGAAGGCCGATACGAAACTTGCCCAGATTCGTATCGCCAAGCTTCGTGCACTGAGCACGCAGACTGTCGAAGCGGTCGCAACCCAGACGGGGGAGAGCGACCAACTGAGTGACACCAGACAGCTGAGGAGAGGGGCGGGAGAGGAGGAAGGAGGCGTCACCGAAGGATCTGAAAAGGGGGTGCAGGGCGCGAACCCCTCCACCGCCCCGACCCCCGCGCCCCGATTCCGTCGGCTGCTCACTGGCGGCCAGGACATGGTTCGATATAGAGCTCCAAGGCGGCTCCAGACGGGCCCAGCTGTCCCCAGGATGGGCCCCCCCGGCGGCCCCGAGATGGGCCAAGATGGCCCGGAGGCCGCCAAGACGCTCAAAGAGGACTGCTGGGGGGCCGTCGCGAGGGGCCACCACAAGGGCCCTCCAGAGGAAACCATCATTGATGCCCCCCTTGGTGATTCTCGCCTGTTTGGGCTTCCGACGATCCAAGACGGCCTAAGAGGTCCTCAACCAGCCCCCAAGATCGGCTTGAGAGTGCGCAACAAGCACCCAAACGAGCCCCAAGAGAGGCCAAGAGGGCCTTCAAGGCAGATTCAGCCGCCCCCCAGAAAAAAAAACCCAAAAAGGTCTCAGAGGGTGAACACGAACCGTGCTCTCTATTTTTCTGCAACAAGAAACCCCAAGGAGGCCCCCGACAGGCCCCAGCGTCGCCAAGGGCATGCTTCACTGGTTTGCGGATGCTTTTGGTGGCCTCGGGGTACAGCCATGCTCCCGCTCTGTGGACTCAATACGTCGGTCTTTCGGTGGAGCTCCCTACGGGGCCACGAAACGTGTGAAGGGTGTGTCAGGATGGGCGCGGTGGGCGCATGCGAGCGCTGGCAGTTGAGCCGTCGGTGGAGCTCTCTAGGGCCACGAATCTTGCGAGGGGTGTTCCAAAATGGGCGGGGTGGGCGCAATAGGGCCCTCGGTGGAGCTCCCTATGGGGCCACGAAGCGTGTGAGGGGTGTGCCGAAACAGACATGCGGAGGGCAGAGGCAGGGATGGGAGGAGGAAGGAGGGAGGAGACGGGAGGAGAACGCGGGGCGCTGTCTTGTCAAAACGAAGACCCAGCACCACAGGATGGTTGGGAAAAACGAACACGCAGAAGGCAGAGGCAGTGATGCGAGCAGGGGAACCGGGGAATGAGGAAGGAAAGAGGAAGGAACGCCGGGCGCTGTCTCTTCACAGCGAGGACCCAACAACACAGGATGGTTGGGAAAAACAATCATTGCTCAAAACCTTTGTTGAAGAGTTCAGCGGTCTCGCCTTGTTGAGCTTCCGACACTCCAAGACGACCCAATAGGCCCCAAGATCGGCCCAAGATGAATCTTGTGCTTAAAATTTTCCGCGATAGCGTCCGGGAGCGGCCCCGGGCCCTCCCTCCACAACGACGTTACGTTCCGCGCCGGCGGCGTCGGGGAATGCCTAGGGGTGACTGAAGCCACGTGGGAGCAGCATGGAGGTGGCGATCTGCACCACAGCGCCTGTGTACACCACAGTGCTCGCGTGCACCACAGCGCCTGTGTACAACGCAACAGCCGTGAGCAACGCAGCGCCTGTGTACACCGCAGTGCTTGCGTGCACCATAGCGCGCGTGCGCACCACACATCCCATGTGTACACGGCAGCACCCTGTTGCAACATAAGGCCTGTGTACACCACAATGCTTGCGTGCACCGTTGTGCCTGTGTACACCACAACGCCTGTGTACGCGGCAGCATCCGCGTGCAACACAACTCTGGTGTGCATCACAGCGCCTGCGTGCACAGGACAGGTAGAAGGATGTTGAGGATCTGCTGCGGACAGCGAAACACCACGCAAGGAGAGTGCTGCTAATCCGCCGACCCTGTCGCCGTGTGGAATGCGTTGTTCGTTGTGGTTGTTGTCCTCGTGCGTACTCGTCGTCTTCTTTTCTGGGTCCGTCGCCGCTCCCCCCATCTTTCCCTGGGCCCTCGTCCTCAAGTGCGCCAGCCAAAGCGACATGAAGCAACCCAGCCAAAGCAAAATTAACAACGTTGTCATTGAGTCGAGGGGAAGCCCCTTCCCGTTGATCCCTTCCCCGCCAGGGGGGGGGAAGGGTCCCGGAGGAATTCCGGTGGGGATTCCCGGGGGGGGTCCTGGGAGGGGTCCAGGGTCAGAATACCATTTCCCGTTTGCGGCTTTCACAGAGGGGCCCTCTGTAGATGCGCTGGAGGAGGAGTGGGGTCGCCACGACGGATCTGCAAGAGCGCCCCTAGACGACCCAAGCCCCACAAGACAGCCCAAGAACGCCTAACGACAGCCAAAGGGGGGCCTTCAGACGGGTCAAAAGAGCCCCACAAGGACTCTCCAGAAGGCCCGCAGAGGCCATATTCATTGATTTTCGGAAAGGTTTTGTCCCCGCCCTCTCCCTCCCATTCCCGTCGAGAGCCGAGGCCTCCAAAATTGGTTGCTCCTACTCGCTTCCTCTCGCTGCTCCCCCACTCCTCCTCCTCCTCCTCCTCCTTCTCCTCCTCCTCCTCCTCCTCCTCCTCCTTCTCGACCGCATTCCTCTCGCTGCTCCTCCACTTATCCTTCTCCTCCTCCCCCTCATGCTCCTCCTCCTCCTCCCTCCTTATCCTTGCCCCCCCTCCTCCTCCCTCATCCGCCTCCTCTTCTCCACCCTTCCTCGCCCCCCCCCACTCCTCCTCCTCCTCATCCGCCTCGTATCCCCCCCCCGCTCGTTTTCATATTCGTCGTCTCCAGAGTCGGCGGCTCCGGCCGTAAGGCTCCCCTTCTCCCCGTCGTGCGGATCGGCGCTGCAGCGCACGTGCGCATCTCAATGTGCTCTGCAGACCGGTCTACTGAATCAGTCCACTTGCTTCTGGGACGGCCAACTCGACAGGAGCCTTATGGACGCACATACGAGGAAGTTGGATGATGCGGGAAGACTCGGACGGACTCGTGGATTCCAGGGGCGCTCCATTTCCCATGAGGATCCCATTCCACATCCTATATAAGACATTGGTTTCCTGTGGAATCCACAGGCGCTCCAACTTGTCACAAGTATTCCTTCCAACATCCTTTATACAACAATGGTGTTTTATTGCGCACGGCTGCTGTGGTGCACACAGGCGCCGTCGTGTACACAGGCGCTGTAAGGCACGCAGGCGCTATGGTGCACACTGGTGCCGTGTTGCACATGGCTGCTGCTGTGCACGCAGGCGCCGTGGTGCACACAAGCACTGTGATGCACGCAGGCACTGTAGTGCATGCTGTCGCTGTGTTTCGCGCGGCCGCTGTGATGTACATAGGCGATGTGGTGTACACAGGCGCTGCGGTGCACGCAGGCACTGTGGTTCACACAGGCGCTTTTGTGCAGATCGCCACCTACATGCTGCTCCTACCCGTCCTCGGTCACTCCTGAGCATTCCCAGACGCCGCCAGCTCGAAACGTGACGTCACCTGCCCCCTCCCCCCCCCCAAGACGGCCGTTATCACCCCAGAATAAACAAAATAGGCTCATGGCCCAAGAGGCACTCAAGAGATCCCCGAGAAGGCCCAGGGAGAGCCCCACCAAAACGGCCCCGAGAGGCCAACAACAAAAATCCAAGAGGGCCCCAGAGGGAGAACACGAACCGTTACTGACCCAAGAAGCCCACAGGACGACCCAATAGGCCCCTAAGAGGCCCCCAACAAGCATCCTGGGAAACGCAATGAGCCCCCATGAGGCCTGTCGGGACGCCCCCAAGACGCCCCAGGAGGCCCCCAAGAGGCCCCAGCGTCACCACTGATCCATTGGCGTGCTGGCTTTCCACTCTGGGGGCCTGCTCCGCGGGGCTGGATACTGGGGATATCCTGCGAGTTTGGGTTGGATCTGTGTAGGACCCCCGAGGGATGCGTAGCACGATTGGCGCAGCGAGCAGCAGCACAGACAGAGGTCAGCCCGAGCACGGCTCGCAATGCTCAACTGCCTCGGTGCCGAAACTAACATATCACATCCATGTCCTCCGCTCGAGGGTGCAAGAAGCTCCTTCCGCAACGCAGTGCAGCGCACTGCAGTCCCTCCCTGTGCCTGCACATCTTCACTCGCGGAAGTGGACTGTGGCGCTTCCGATTGCAAAGGCGCTCGAGCAAGGCAGCGGGAGCGATGCAGGACGTGGCGGGCTGACCTGAAATGCTGAAGTGCTCGAAGGACATGACTGGCCTGACAGGGAAAAAGAAAAAGGTACTCCACATTTCGTAATAAAGGGAGGGGGGTCTCATTTCGGGGGGGGGTCTCTTCCAGGCTATCTTGGAGGGCCTGGGGGGGTCTGGGGACGATGTTTTGGAGGGTTCTCCCACGGGGAGGGGTCTGAAATGGCTTGTCTTGGAGGGCCAAGACCCCCTCCCTTTTATTACGAAATCTGGAGTACGCCGAAGCGCGGGCACTTCTAGGCATCAGGCCAGCGCGTCGCAGGATGGCCCTCAACGCCGAACCCAGCTCTGCAGGACAGTGTGCATCATACATGTGAATGTCGCATCGTAACCCCTGCCCTCCTGTAAGGAGAGGGCGGAGGGAAAGGGGAAGAATTAGGGAAAGTATAAGACATATCATAATTTTTGAGGCGAAGGGGAACAACTGAAAGGCATGGGGACAGTCGCTTGGGTGCGAGTGCACGCTTGCACCTTCGACTGCTGTAGTGGGACTCGGTCTCTGAACAGGCAGACTAACACGTCGGGCGTTGGCGGGACTGCGTTTAGTCCAACCTGGCTTAGTGACGTGCACAAAAAGGGACGTCCCCTCACCCCAATCCACTAACCAGAACTGCCGTCACCCGAATACATACTCCAGATTTCGTAATAGAGGGAGGGGGGTCTCATTTCGGGGGCGGTCTCTTCCAGGCTATCTTGGAGGGCCTGGGGGGTCTGGGGACGATGTTTTGGAGGGTTCTCCCACTGGGGAGGTCTGAAATGGCTTGTCTTGGAGGGTCCAGACCGCCTCCCTTTTATTATTACGAAACCTGGAGTACCACCTACGGAAGGCTTGGTTCCGTGATTCTGGAACTTCTGGTGGTCCCCGGGGCCCAATCACTAGCGGGTTCCCCTCATCTGGGGCCTTGGTTCTATCCGATGACGACACCTCACCCCAATCCACTAACCAGAACTGCTGTCACCGGAACACATACCAGCTATGGAATGCTTGGTACCGTGATTCTGGAACTTCTGGTGGCCCCCAATCACTAGCGGGTTCCCCTCCTCTGGGGCCTTTGGTTCTATCCGACGACGAGGGCTCCACGGGCAGCCTCCCAGCAGACCGGCGCACTGCCCAGGTATAATACCGAGGAGGGCGCGTGGGCGTCACAGCTGGGGCAGCGCTGGGCAGAGAGCAGGCGAGGGACGCCTGGTGGGCCTCCTCAGACAATAGACAAACTCGAGCACGGCCCGAGCCAGACTCGAGCTGTCCAATAATCAATGCCCTGGCGGGCAGCGAGAGACTGCGAGGCGAGCTCTGGTTGAAGCAGGCATCGTGCCTAGAGAAGCTGCCCACTCTTCCTTCACGTCTCCCTTCCATGCAGGGCGTACAGTCAACCCATGATAAGGACGCACGATAAGGACGAAGAGGTCCTGGAAGGCCATTTCGAAGCTTTTCGAGCGGGGCGAGGCCAGCGAAAGTGGCCAAGGATGGACCGAGGAGACAAGGATGCAAGGGTACCCTTAGGAATATTGCACGCCTTGCTGTGCGGGTTGACTGTCAGCGCTGATGGCCTAGGTAGAGCAACCCCACTAGCGAAGATTCAGCCGCGTTTCAAAGAAAGGGGGGGGTAGAGGGCGGGGGAGATCAAGTACCCTGCTCTGAGGGCACGATTTCGATTTGACGGGCTGTCACCTCCGCGCCCTGGTTTCAACCTGAAATGTTCCCAGGGGGCCTGCGTGGTGCTCCCAAGTGCGCTAGCTCACCAAGCCCACGTGCGCTAGCTCACCACCTGACTTTACTCTCCTTCCCCTTCTCGTCACTATCCTCTCTTCTTCCTCCTCCTCCCTCCCTCCTAGTCCTCCCTCCTGCTCACCCCATCCACTTACCATTGTCAATGATCCGTTTCCGCATCCGAGCCCCGATCCTCGGGTGAGGTTTCTTCCCCTCGACATGGGCGTCCAACTGCTTCATGGCAGCGACGACCTGTTCCTCGCTCATGCCAGCGATGGCCTGATGGGAGCTCACCCCTTCTTCCCAACACTCCTCCTCCTCCTCCTCCAATATCTTCCTCTCCAGCTGGTCATCCTCCGTCGGCGTCTCCTCCTGAGATACTTCCGTGTCCGCTGAGCATCCCCTTCGTCCTTCTCCCAATGCTGTGTCAGGCCTGAGCTCGCTCGAAGCCCCCGTTGCTTCCGGAGCAGATATTGAGGATGTCTCGGGCGAAGCGCTGGCTTTCGCACCCCAGGTTGGTGGCCAGGCTCGCCTGCGTTCGGAGCCGATTTGGAGGAAGTCTCGGGCGAGGCCGCTTGTCTCAACACTCCCAAATGGGGGGCCGAGCGTTTTGCAGGTTTACCAACCCAAAACCCCCTGCTTTCGGAGAAGATGTTGAGGATGTTTCTGGCGAGGCGCTGGCTTTCGCAGCCAAGGGGGGCCGAGACTGCGAGGATGTCTGGAGCGGCTTGCCTGTTTTAGCGGCCTGTTTTGTGTTGCGTGTCCCTATGGGTTGTCCGTCCCCTGTGGCTCCACTCTTACGAGGTCCACATATGTTCCTATGGAGTGGGCCTCTCCTGGGGCGCGAATGCTGAGTGTTTGATGTATGTTACTATGCTGCTGTGGTTCCAGCCCTATGTGTTTACGTCTGTTCCTATAGATTGGGCCTTTCCTGGGGCACGAACCCTCCCAAGCGGTGCAGAATAATCATGGCGTGGAGATTGTATCAAGATTGCAGAAGACAAATCTGCCTGTAGTTCGAACACTGTGAGACGTCCCGTTTTCTGAGAGTTTCATGCCAGGCGTCTCGGACGCACCCCCCTCTCTGAAGCACTTCTGACATAGTGCAATCTCCCATCCCCTCCCTGGCATTCAATACGTTTCCCATGGACGACGTCCTGGCCGCATGCCTTACCCCTGTGCATGCGCCGCGCAACGTCGACGACTTTCTCCACTTCGCCGGTCTGGACTTCCAGCTCTGAGACTATCGGATCTGGTGCCATCGGCGTCGTTGCACGGTGGGCCCACTCAATGTCGAGCAGATAGTCGGCCATCGCGTCAGCTGTCGGGTCTCACTGCACCACTGCACCCTCCGTGCCGCGAAGGCGCCCATGCTCTGGCCCAGGGCTGGGGAAGGGGGGGGCGAGGAATGCATTACTCCCAATCCTGCTCCCCTCAACTCCCCGTCCTTCTCGCTGGCCTCCGCCTCGTCCATCTCTTCCCCCATGCCCTCCTGTTCCTCAAGCGGCGCACCAAGGCGAACCGATGCTTCGCGCCTCATGCTGCTGGTAGAAGTCCTTCTGGATCGTCACCAGCTCCTCATCCTTCGCAGGAAGCGGCAGCGTATCGGCTGGGCCAAGGGGGAGCACACACACAAACACGCACACACACAAACACTTCGGGCACGCACGCACAACGAGAACCAGTCACACGGGCCTCGCAGAGCCGACGAGTGCAGAGGACGGGTGGCGTGCCGCGGTCGTTCCAGGACGTGCCGGAAGTCCTTCGCACTTCCTGGAGCGATGTATACTCGCATCCTTTGCCGAGCACGTTCCACTACTTGCAGACTGCCTACTTGCAAACGTCCGGGAAAACATATTTTCCTCTGTGTAATGGAGCGTAAATCCCCCGCGGCGG